CCAGTGCATATTGGATCAAGCCTCAGATGGCAAATAATATTTTTGTTGGTTTGGTTACGATCTCTATGGCTCCTTAAAATACAGAAGTAAGCCAGAGATAAGAGCTAACAGACTGTACCTGAAATTCAAAACCACATTTTATACTCAAGACTGACAAAAGATCAGCTGCAGACACTAGTACTACAAGCCTAGAGGAAAGACATTGATGGGATAATGAGGGGCAGTGTGAAAACACCTTCAGATAGATTAGTCTGCAGGATGTACTGTCATTAAATACGGTTTGTGATGCTGGGGAACTAGCACTTTACCTGAGAACTGAACTTTTCAAACAAAAGAGAAGAAGGTCATAGAAGAACAGGTGAAATATTTAAGCAAAATGTTTTCTTGCAGCCAGTAAACTTGTAAAATATTCCTATCCAGTCTGCAAATTTCAGCACAGTCCCATCAGGAAAGGAGGTCCAGAGAACAGCTGGGTCCCTGGGTGTCGGGGGGACGACAGTCTATTAAATTTTTTTAAAGAGATTTTATGTATTTTCTCTTCAGCACTAACAGATTGTCCAGAAAGCTTTTCACACACAACCTACAAGGGGAATTATTCCTGGCCGCTAACACATCCAGCTACCAAAGCGGAGGTCAGCTGCAGGAAAAACCCTCTGCAGTCTGCTCAAAGGAGTTGGTGAGTGATGAGACCATCTCGTGTTGGTTCCTGAATGGGAAACAGGAGGGAGTTCCAGGCTTTGAGTGATGGGGAACCAGATGGTACTCTGTCACGGCACACAGCAGTGCCACGCCGAGGAAGGTGCCAAGTATACGGGGCCAGTCTAGCACTGACCGCAGGAAAAGAGAGTGTTGCGTCATCTCCATCGCCTGCAGCCAGTGCAAGCCAGTGTAGCAGGAAGATGACTTTCTGCTTGAGCAGGGAGGGGAAACAGATGCACTGTAGCATTTTGTGCCATCCATTCATGGCTCTCTGCCCTCCAGTACCTCAGGATCCGTTTCAAATTGCTCTGGCATTTGGGCTCTGCTCCCACTCTGCTAATTGCGTGCTAAGTCAGATCTGACTTGCAAGTCAGTTTTCAAAATTGGGCTAATTAATTACATTCTTAGATACTTAAAAGGGAAATATGAGGACACCAGTTATATATTTTTGCTTGTAACAACAGACACTGTTTTCATTTTTCAGTGCAATTAATATTGAACTTGAGCAAGCTTTCTGGAAGAAACCAAATATGACTGAATGTAAATTACTTGAAGAACTTCCAATTAATATTTTAGACCTCCATGACATCACCATAACAGAAGGTAAGGCACCAGATACTTCAGTGACACAGTGAATCAAAGAGGAAATAGTTACACTCAGACAATGCTTATGCTGGACATCTGAAGAATTGAAGCGATAAAGTTGTTTTATGTGCATCCTACCCACCTGGTCATCTTAAAGTGTTTTTAATGTACTGAATTTTGCAGGTGCTTCAAAATTCTCTAGCTAGCACTTTGAAGACTTTTCTCAAGTCCTACACTTAGATTTAGAACTAAGTAAATAACTAATGAATAATGTGTCAGGTTTTGCCTGTCTATACTCTCTCTGTTACCACATCGAAGTAGTTTATAATATCTCATACAAAGAAGCACAAATCAGTGTATGCAATTGAAAAGTTTGTGCTGTAATTCATGCAAGATATGAAGTGACCTTTACCACCTGGTTATATCTTTTTGAAGCTATTCCAAACAGTGCAAGTTGTTTGAATACTGAACAAAAACAATACCATAGCTTATCCACCTACTCAGCAGTGGCATCAAATAATAGATCATTGAAAGATATCTGCAGTTGCATACAGTCTGTCTGAGTCCCAGGGTGTAAAACTCTGCTTCTATAAAAAAAATATTGAAGGATGATGGGATGCTGAATGGCAAATACAACAATATCATTCAGAATTTGCTCTTGCTGCTATACCAGTTAAGCAGCATTTGGGGAGAGGGGTGGATCTTGTGTAATTTTGAACTCACAAATGCTAGTAAATGGGACCAAAGTTAAAACTAAGTATTACTTACAGGTAATCTTTATAATCCAAAAGCAGGTGATAATATTCTTATGAAAAGTACATTGTTTTCTTCCTTTGAAATACAGCCTGAGATATCCAGATTTTACTCTGAAGTTTTTGGCAGTTTCATTGACATGCTGAGGGCTTATTGCCTTATCCTTAGGACACAATTTTGTAATAGACCAGAAACATTATGACCATATGGAAAGAGAGGAGAAGCAGACTAACTGCTTGCTTTAATATAGAGACATGTAGCTATATAGCTAGACGTAGAGCTATGCCACATAAATCATCTGTACTTTCTTTTTTTTCAGAGAATGCACAAGATGTTGTACAGCATATTTTATACCTCTTGCCAGATGCAACACTGCACATGGAAGAATTAGAAATCATTGCAAGTAAAATTTCTGATATCATAAGGCTGGCAGATATGAGCAAGACACTTGCAGAGACTATATTGTCTATAATAAACTATATTTTGCTGCAAGAAATAGAAGATCAGAACATTAGAAAAATGACCAATAGGTAAGATAACTGGCCTAGAAGTGGCTTCCTAAGCTAAAATGGCACCGTGCAGTAATTAATTCAGTCTATTAAAATAGCACCACAAGACTTAGCAACTTCTGTACTTGGATCTTAAACACGTTTGTGGTTCTTAGCAGCAGAGATTGATCATTGTGTTGTCAAAGGTGCTTTGACCAGCACCAGTTCTGCAGAAGTCACCATCACGGAGTTGTTCTCTGTGGGCATCTCAGCCTGGAAGCAGACCAGGGAGGCTGCCTAGCTGCCATCTCATCTCAGAGGTGATCTCGACAGCTCAGCAGTGAGGTCTGTCAGGGGGTCAGCCTGGAGACATGTATCTGTTCCACCAGCACACCAGGCTGGAGTGCTCTACCTGTGCTGACAAAGGATTTTCAAACATAGCTATTCAATGTTAGACTTCAAAATCTACATTTAGGATCCTACATCCATTATGTGATTCTCACACATACTAAAACTGAGGTTGCTAGATAACTTTAAAACCAGCTCTCTCCTTTGAGATCTTAAAGGTAACTCAGCTACCTGGTTTTGAAATGTCTGGCTTCCATGGCTGAGCAGAGCACTGTTCAGAAAAATACTGCTGGCCTTTACAAAGGCAAATGCAAGTATACAGAGTTTAATCATTTCTGATTCAGGCAAGACAGCTTACCCACTTCTCACTGCATGGCCTGAACCTCCAAATAGGAAAGATTATTCTACTTTTCACTGGCAAATTCGACGCTAACCAACAGTGTAAGAGATGCGGTGTTCATCATATTAAACAGTCTTTCAGCATCTCTCATTTTAAAGACTGTGCCTATCTGCATTTTTCTCTCACTTAATGTAAAACAACATTTTAATAGGAAATATTAAAATAAGAAATATCAAAAGCAAGAAAAATGAACTTTCCACCTAAGTTCTAGGTGGAGCATAGAGTATGCTACAGCCCTGTTGTTTGTACTGGACAACTATGCATTGCCTTTTCAAACTCAGGAGTCCACAAGGAGGAGTAGCCAAAAATAGGTTAGAAAATCTGCCAGAGAGAAAGCATTGAGTAGCACCATGATCTTTGTGGCTGTATGCTCGCTCTGCAGTGTGTGGAGAGGGAGCTGTGACAGCTGCCAGCACTCAACACCTCTGCCTTCTCAAATAGGCTGTGGGGTTTTTTAAGTGAAATATCCATTACTTTGAATTCTCCTCCTATGAAATGTGAGGTTTTAGGGACAAGGATGATATTCTAATATGCTCTGGATTTCTGATCCTTAGTGGAAATAAGTTTGGTATGTACAAATTGTGGTAACAACATCTTCACAGTTTTTGTGGACAGGAGAATCCTAGGTATTTTGATTTTTCCATAAATCAGACCTCAAAAGGGCACGACCACTGTGATGACACCTGATGAGTGCTAGCAGGATATCCTCACAAGGGCTGTTACGCTCCTTCCTTCAGGCCTCAGGAGAAACTTTGGATCCCTGATATTTTGAGAAAGTTGAACTCCAGACTTTGCAGCTCTAGGGCAGCTATGGCTGAAAGGATCCCATGGGGGTCCTTGTGTGTCTGGGACCAATGGTCCATGAAGATAACACCAGACCAAAGAAGGACAGGAAGGTCTTCCTTTAGTCCATCAGGGCCAACTGTCTTACACATTTTCAATAGAGTATTATCCCTTCCTGCATACTGCTGAATAGCTGTAAGGGAGGACAAACAAGATGTGAAGCTGTCTCTGACTCTTTTCATATCCATGAGCATTAAACAACCCTAATTTGCAGAAAGCCTGTGAAATCCCCATCCTCAGAGATATTCAGAGCTTTACTGGACAAGACCCTGAGCAAACTGACCTACCTTTCAAGTATGCCCTGCCTGGGGGAGGTGGGATGTTGGGTCACAGACCTCCAGAGCTCCTTTGCAGACTAAATTATTCTGGGTCTGATATTTCACCTGAAGGTACAATTACATGATTGCAGATAATCAAATTGGTAGGTTTTACAAGTTATTGCCTTCCAGATGAAATGCAGTATTGGACTGGGTGTGAATTTTGACTCAGGTCTTCCCAGAACCACCTCCTGTTGTTCCCACAGGATTGTATCTTCCACCTGCCAGAGTTTTGGCTTACTCAAACATGCTAACTCAATTGCTTGCCGTCACCTGACCCTGTGCCAGACAAAATGCCGTCTACCCCAACACAGACCCATTCTGCTCTAGAGATTGCCCCTTCTGATCATAAATCAGAGCAGAGATTTTTAGTTGATTGTCTCCTGACTGCCTGTTATGAAGCCAGGAGAACATTTCAAGAGATGTATCTTTTTTTTTTTTTTCTTTGCTGTTGCTCTTGGTAAAGTATCCTGAAGACAACTGAGGAGATAGGCTATAAGGTGATTTACACAGAAAGAAATATGTCAGTCATAACCACTTCCTTGGCTTTGCTGGTGATGCGTTCAGATCCCAGAGTGTTTGGAGGACTGGCCTTCGGCGTTACTTCCTACGACAGAGGTGTGGATCTCAAGGTAAGAACAAAGTATCACCTCAGGGACCACTGACTAAACTAGACAACCCTCCTGCTATTTTGTACTGTTGTGTGTGTGACTTGAGGAGGGCAGCTCTGAGCATCCCATCTCTCTCTCCTGCAGGTCAATGTTCAAGAAAAACCTTTCAAAAAGGCCCTGGCCTCTGTGTTTTTGCCGAAATCACTGAGGAAATTCTTAGGGATTGAGCATGCTGACCCAGACAAGCATTCAAAGATCCAGTTTAAGTTTTTTGGCACTACTTCACTCTTTGCGGTAACTATGACTTCTAACAAATGCTAACATGGCAGTAATCGGTTCAGCTGTTCTTACTGAGTACAAAAAACAAATCCCAATAGCATCATCCCTTCTGGGCACAGTTAGCATCAGACTGACGGAGCACTAAGAAATACGCAGGGAAAATGTACCCAGGCAACAAAACCTTCTCTCTAGCAATGGTTCTTTGAGACGTATCTGTAGACTTTAGATATTTTGTTCATTTTCTGTAGATGATGTTTTATTCCAATTCCGCTCTTCTGTAGGAAAATAACATACCGTAATCTTCGTCTGATAGTAAGCTCTTGCTTAAGGAACGTGCACTGTACATCTCAAATATCATGAAAATAATTTCAAGATTTATGTCTCCATTAAAACAATGGCAGTACTGATATACAGCGTTTAGGACTATTCTAGTATTTGCTATGTTTTCTTAACTCGGGGTGGGGGGTGAGTGTAATTAAAAAGCGAGACGTATCTTTTGGTATGACGGAGCATACAGTGTGCTGAACGATGCTTTTCACACAGAAGAAGCATTCACAATTGTGTCTACTGTCTAATGAGCTTAATGATGTGCAACTGGATGTTTTGATGTACTGAAATGATTATACAGCTTCCTCAATGCAGCTGATGCAGCTGAAACTCTGTTCTGCTTCAGCTGATGTAGAGACTGTCCCTGAATTTGTAACTAACTACATTGGCTAATGAAGTAGCAAGCAGCTAAACTACATCAGGCACCCCACGGTGTTTAGCTGATCACCGTTTCTAAGAAATACCATTTTTAAAAAATGGAAGCAGGGAAGAGCAAGATTGCTGGTAACTGAAATGAGTTGGAATTTTTTGCATGTGTGTACTTTTCCACTGCAGGATGACAGTTTAAAGAAGGAGAGGTTGAATACTTATGTTGTGAGTGCCAGCATTGAAAACGCATCAGTTCAGAACCTTAATGAGCCTGTGACTATTACTTTTCAGCACATAGACCAAAATACGGTAGGATGTATTCATTTCATCAGACACACGTTGAAGTAGAGCCTATTTCACTTAGCCTTACAATGAACTGGCAACAGGACAAATAAGCTTAAAACATTTTGCTGCCTGACCTCTCCATGATATATCAACCAAAACATTGACAGACCACATAGATGTCAGTGTTTAATTCCTGCGGGTTAATAAAGCTTGTGTCTCCACTCGAAATCCATGCTTAGCAGCAAGGGATGTTTTCCTTGTTTTGATCTGGACAATTTTTTTTTAAGGAGAAGTTTATTTGCTAAAAAATGGCAGGTTTTGGATTTGACTGAAATGATTTGCGATTGCTTTGAATTCATCAAATTGTTTTAGTTATCAAAAGAGGTAAATTTAAAAAAAAAAACCAAAACATTGCGTAGATGTTTTCAAAATTATTTTGCTTAGTTTTGTTTCAAAATGATGTTTCAAAACTAAAATGTATCCTGAATTACATTAAAATGGGCACAGGTCAAATGTGTTCACCAAGTTCCACCTTAGCATTTGCCAATGTTTATGGTCCAGCCTCCACATGAATATATTGCAAACCCAGGGCAGAACAAAATTATTCAATAAAATGAATTCGATTAAAGTTCAAGTGAATGAGATCTTGAAAATGCTGCTGTCATGGTAATATGCTCTATCCATTCAGTTCTAGCAAATAGTATGTACCCAGAAATTTAATCTAGATATCCTCTCTCTTCTGTCGTTTTTACTCCACCAGGCCATCTGGCACCTCTCAGATTTTTTTTCTCAACCTTTTTAAGATATCCTAATTAAATATTTAATGAGATACCATCCTAACCTACATCATTGGCACTCTGCCTAATTATATTTGATAGTCTACAGATCACACGTCTTAACAGCTTATCTGTTAGGGTGGCTTCCTGTAAGCTCTGTGCTTTATTAAACTTTATTAATAATAAACGAAAATGAATCTGTGCCTTGGGAAAGTTTGCTGCAGCATTACGAGTAATAAACTAGAATGTCCCCAAGAGAAAACATTGCATTGAATACCCATTTAAGTCTGTTCAGCTGTTTGCAATATGCAGGCAAGCTTTATTTTCTCTTAGGTGTCTTCCCCGCCTGGTTTGAGAGAGAGGAAACACTGAAATTCTAAAATAAATGTTTTCTTGTGTAGAGAATAGTTTGGGGTTTTTCATTGTATAAAATTTCAGGTTGTTATTCTACGTCTTAGTCATAACTGTTTAATTTCACCAGTAGTTTGGTATGACATCTCAGAGACCACATGAAGCCAACGAGATCAGACATAGGAATCAGTTTAAGCTGGATAACTTGTCAGATTTTCTGCTGTCCTTAAAATACAATACAAGATAAAAGAAGACTGGTAAAACTGAGAAAATCACTGACTCCCAGGATTTCCCTTGGTAAAGGGAAAATTGAGACCCTCTGCTGGTTTTCAGTGCCGTGGATGAGATGGCCGACATCCCAGCTGGTTCCCAGTGACCATGTGCCCAACTGTCCCTGCTCTGCTGGCATCTCCAGTGACCCACAGACTCTCTGCAGCACCACCGTGCCAATCACTGCAGAGATGAGTGGGCTTTCTTGTCAAGCAGTAGAGGGGAAATCAAATCAAACTGCCTTCGTTATAAACCCTGATTACAGGCAAGATGCACCGTCTGCAAGTGCAGGCAGTGTACAGATGTACTGAATAAACGTCACAGCCTCCTTTTTCTCTGCTTTCAGGGTAGTGCAGCAGTGCACTGTGTCTTTTGGGACTTTCAGGAGAACAGTAAGTGTTATTTACAGACCTGCCACGCTTCCTCTGTCACCAGCCTCACAGAGCCTTTGACTCCTTGACATTGCAGCTTGAAACTTTGAGGCTGTCCTGTTGAGTCTGTGTTGCTGGTTTCCATTGCTGTTGGTACCTCAGCAATCAGTGTAAATACTAGGGGATGTGTGTCTGGCATTGTACAGTGCTGCATCTACATGAATAAGAAAACTTATCCTCAGAAAAAAGCAGAAATGCAATGAAACATTAGATTAGTACTCACGGTTACTTCAGGGAAGTCAGTGGGGGCTTTGCTGTGGTCAAATCTTCAATATGGCTCAGACAGTTAACAAACACAGAAAGATAGTTGCGTGTTGGGTTAACTCAGCTCACTTGGGAGAGGTTTCCTCTGCAATTATTGGTGCCAGAATATATGTATTTTTTAAATCAGAAGCTTAGCTTTTGAATATGTCATACATGCCACCTAAGTAGGGTCATAAATTTAATTTCACCAGGGAAGATCTGGCTTTTTCAGTGCTACACTCTGCCTAAACAAATCCTCTGCCCTGTAAATATTTCTTGCCTTCTGTGTTTCCACACCCTGCAGCATCATCTAGTCCAGCACACTTTTCCTTACCTTCCTGCTTTCTCTGTGTGCGGGTGTGTAAATGACTTTAAATATTTCTTCATTCCACCAATGGCTTTCATCCAAGTTTTGAGGTTCTCAGGCAACTATATAAGATGTGTTCCTGTGTGAAATCTCACTTGAGTGCTGCTAAATGACCCTGCAATCTGTACTAACTTGAGCTCATATTCACACATTCTGAATGCTGCAGAGCTATAAATGACTGAGCATGACTAACTCTGCTTAAAAATCCTTTTTTCTCTATTACACAGATGGACTGGGTGGTTGGAATACATCGGGGTGTGAAATGGAATATACAGATATGAATTACACAATCTGTTTTTGTAACCATCTTACCCATTTTGGAGTCCTACTGGTAAGTACTCTGTGAATCATCTCCAAAAAAGTCCCGTGGCACCCAACAAAGTCATCACTGGTTTTGGGGAGAGATGGGAGATTCGTATCTATACAAGCTGTTAGAGATCTGCAATTTTTGCCAAAATCAGTAATAACAAACAAAACAGGTATAATAAGTTTTATGGTATAAAGTCCTCTAAATGTCACTTGCTTCAAGGCAAATTCATTTTACAGATGCAGTTTGTACTTCCTTGCAATGTAACTTCATCAATGTTAATGTGTTACTTGCTGTGTTGGAAATACTGTGTTAAATTTATTACCTGCCAGTGGCAACTACTGACATTACATCTTTCTGAAAGTTTTATCTATGCTCTATCAGAAAGGGAAATTTAATATAAATACAGGAGATGGAATTAACTATCGTCTCTTATCTGTAGGGCAGAAAAGGCAGCAGTATTTTAACACAGAGAAAACTGCCTCTAAAAGATGAATGTCAAAAAATGGGATGACTGCCTGAGAATGGGCTGCAACAAATGCAAAGTGATAGGCAAGCTGAAAGCAAACTGATTAGATTACAATTGTCTAATCCCAGTCGGATATAACCAGTTGGATGGAGTAAGGCCCCCGCTTCGCCTTTGGATGCTTGCCCAGCTTCCCAGAGAGGTCAGCATCACCCTGCTCCCAGAGGGGCACAAAAGAGTAAAAATGTGACTTCTACAGGAAGGAGTTTAGATGTTACAGGTTTCAGACAACTTGCTAAGGTTTCCATTCAAGCAAAGAGAATCCAGTCTGATTTTAAGATCACACCTCTCCTGCACTGCCACTTTCGTTATCAGCACAGTCACAAGCATTTAACAGCCGTGCCAATTGTACATCAGAGACGTAGGTTACTAGTCTGAGGATCGAAGTTTCACCAAACAGAAGAGAAACCATGGCAGGGAACAAGAAAATCCTCTCTGTGTCACCACTGGCAGCAGCTGTGGAGGAGCAGGGCCCAGCCTCCCAGCTGACTGCTGCAGAGGGACGCTTTCTGGACATGGAGGATCCTCCCACACTCCAAGACATTTAGCTGGTTTGTGCAGTTCCCACGGGTGGCAGCTGCCATTGAAACAAAGTAGAGTTTCTCTTACAAAGTGAGCTCCCAGTGGAATAATTTGGGCAAGATCCTGGAATCCTTATAGAATTTGTGGTTTCTGAAACACAGCTTTTCTATCTTCACAATTTATTACTGGGTGCTTTAAATACTGCGTATTTTTACTAGTTTGGATATTCTGTAGGACTATGCAATAAGAAACACATCAAAATATTAATGGAAACCCTCCAGGAGTAGCAGTAAGCAGAACAGAAATAGATTTCTTTATCAATGTGAAAATGTGGAAAGCAATTTTCTTTATCTGTTATGGCAAACAACTCTGACTCTTTATCTTGTAACATAGGACTTGTCCCGGACAGAGATAGATATCATACATGATCGTATATTAACTCTGATAAGCTATGCAGGATGTGGTGCTTCCTCCCTTTTTTTGGGTATAACACTGGTGACGTATCTAGCCCTTGAGTAAGTTTGATCCTTTTTCTTATATTGCTTTTAATATTTTAGCAACAATGAATTTGCAGTAACTATCAGCATATTTGGTAATATTTGATGCTGTTATGAATAGGAGGCAAGAGTGAGAGCTGACAGTATAAATAGTGCTTTATTTTGTCCTGTGACTGTGATGAAGTAAGAGGGATTCAAATCCTCATGCTTCAATACAAGAACTAGTCTGAGCTGTTCAGCAACTTCTGTGTTCCTAAATTTCTGTCATTTCATAAATTTACCTGTCGACATGAGTAAGATATCCTGTCAAGAACTGGGAAGATTCCCTGTATATAGATTGTACATTGGATGATATCAACAGTGAAATAGGGAAACTTAGTTTCTCTTAGTTTCTCTTCTCTTGCTCTTGGTCTTTCTTGTGTTTTGTGCTTTAGGATAGGTTTTGTTTTATGCTGTATGTGCCAGTAGCTGCTGGCATGATAGGGTCCTAGAGTTAGGTAACGGTGGGTACTTTAATAATCCAGTAATACAGCAATAACAATAATATTCGATGCAGTGGTAAAAACATGATATTAAGTCTGTCTCTCCTCCACCAAGCGTGAAAAACTTAGCAGGTCTCCCTGTATATAGAAGCTCTGCTTTTTCAGGCTGGGAGATCTGTTTCAAAAACCCACTAGTGATATATAAAACACCAATGCAGGGTGTCAACTTACACCACAAGAAGCCAATTTATAACATGCCAAATACATATTTGTGCTACTTTGCATTAGTGAATGCACCCAGCACAACTCATGCAGTGATCACCTTGTGGACTTTCCCCTTCTTTTTAGAAAACTGCGGAAAGACAACCCTTCAAAAATCCTGCTCAATCTTTGTGCCGCACTGCTGATGCTGAACATGGTCTTCCTCACCAATTCCTGGCTGTCCTCATTCAACCAGCCAGGTCTCTGCATCGCCGTGGCCGTGCTCCTTCACTATTTCCTTCTTGCAGCTTTCACGTGGATGTGCCTGGAGTCTGTTCAGTTTTACTTGGCTCTTGTCAAAGTTTTCAATGTTTATGTCCCAAAGTACATATTCAAATGCTGTATTGCTGGCTGGGGTAAGTAAGCAGATTTCTCCTCTGCTTCTGTGCTTGTTAACTTCTCTAAGATAGGAGCATGTCTGCAAAAGTTAGTTAGGATACCGAACTAGTAGAAATGTGGTGCACACCCTGAGCCGTAAGGATGGATTTCTTCCCCCAGCCAGGTTCAGCTTATGTTTCTTCTGCCCAGCGAGACATTAACAGAAAGTGCCCGTTTCTCCCTGCACTGCTTTCCCTTCCCCTCCTGCTCTTTACAGAAACGATTTATCATGGTACCTCACATCAGTGGGTGTGCCTGAGGAGGTACGAGCTGCCCACAGCCTTCACGCCAGCACTGGTGATGCTCAGAGGGGATTCTGATCTTCTTCTCCAGGCCTCATGTCCTTACCTGCCATTCTATGCATGATTGCCCCGTAGGGGGTGGGTTTGGCTTTCATTCATAGCTCTTCCTGAGGACTTCACTGATTCACCTTTCCTCTAAGCACTGAGCATCAGAGAATTGTTTGGGAGAAACATAACAAAACGTACCCAAAATGCTGGCTCAGCTGTTAGAAAAGGTATTGTCAGAGGCACTGGCTCAGAGCAGAATTTAGTCTGTATTTTTTGGGTCGCCATTAGATACTGTTTTAATGGGTTTTTTAGGCTTTTCAATAGCGTGCAGAGTATCATCATCTCTGTCCTTAGATCTGATGTCGCATATAATTGTTCTCAGGGGCAGCCATCCATGATGGTCTTGTTGGCGGCAGCCATTCTCAACAGAAAAGCCAGAACTGAAAGAAATATGTGAGATGGGAAATGAGTGGAAGGGAAGACTGATAAAACACTGTCTGGAAAATGTCTGTCTCTATCAGATCTTCACACAAAATGCTGTGGTCTGCTTATCTTTTGCCTCTGCTTTTTGTAATAATCAGTTGGTTTTATTTTGCCAGATTGGATCCCTTCTGGAGATGTTTGAACACTCACAAACATTCTGCAAACACAGATATTTTTATGCCTACTCATTTGTAATTTACATAAATAAGGAGATTAAACCCGCTATGCCACCCATTTAATTAGACTCGTTTCAGAAGGAGCTTTAGGGGTAGAGTTTGATCCTAAGATGTGCATGTCTGCTGTAATTACTCATCAGAGATTATCTGACATCTTTCCATAGTCTCGAATTTTTTCTTTTTAATCTAAATACCTCTTTTTCTCTTGCCTTCCATATTAGGAATGCCAGCTATTGTAATTACTATCGTGGTCATTATAAACAAAGACTTCTATGGCAATGGATCACATTCTGAGAGCAATCCATTCAGCAATTTGTAAGTGTAATACTTCAAGTTTTTTGATGGTCACCGGAGTATCTTATGAATACAAGAAATAACCAGAAGGCTACAACTTCTCTCTTGCTTTTGCCTTTTCTCCCCCATCATAACCCACTCCTTTTAGTGGTTCTGGTTCATTGGATCATTGTGGATGTATGGCTACTGCATGGAAGAACTCTCACATCAGTGGATTGGGCTTGAGGACAGGGAGGCCTTCTGCCAGTCAACTCTTTCTTTACATGGCATATTAACTCATTCTGGTAAAACCTAAAGGCAGAATAATTGCTCTAGTATTTTGCATGTTTGCTTCTGGTTTTTTAATATTTGTTCACATCACTGTCTCTTCATGAGTTCAAATTCTTTTATTTAAACACTGCATTCTTTCACCCTTTTTTAGAAGGGTTTTATAGCAAAGAACGCTTCCATTTTTTCACCTGATTTTTCTTTAGTACAATCTCATCACTTGTTGGTGAAGATTACCTGGAATATTTTAATTCTATCCCACCAGAGAGGCAAAACACAGCCATGACACCTCAGAGGGAAAATAGTTACCCATCTTTAGCAAAAAAGCAGTAAAACTCACTACTTTATGCCTGAGGAAAAGCTAACCAGTGCTCATCTCTGTGCCATACTATTGTTTAAACTCCAAACTGAGTCGTATTTAACTTGGTTTTCGTAAGGCAGTGTGTCTTTGTGTGTATACATTATTAAGTTGAGAAACAATGGTCAGGTTTATCTGAATTAGGCAGAGATATTAAAGTCTCAAAGTTATTGAATTTCTATAGCATCCATAAAAAAGGCAAGTAGACAGATTCTACAAATGTCCTCACTGAGGGAAAGTAATGGGCGTTAGCGAATGCCCCTTACTAGGTATTGGAGAACCATACGGGAGATTTGTTTTGGATACCCAGCCTCATTACTTTCACTGCTCACAAAACTCCTTATTGAATACAGACCTCCCTTTCTTGCAGTTGCTGGATTCAAGAGAACGTAGTGTTTTACATCTCCGTTGTGGCCTATGTCTTCATAATATTTTTGACAAATACAGCCATGTTCATCACTGTTCTTCTTCAAATCCACTCTGTGAAATCAAGGACACAAAAGAGATCCGGATTGTGGAAACGGGGTTTTCTCCAGGACCTCAAAAGCACTTTCAGCTTGATGTTCATTTTGGGCTTAACTTGGGGCTTTGTCTTTTTTGCCTGGGGAGCAGTGAGGATATTGTTCTTGTATCTCTTCAGCATTTTTAACACCTTGCAAGGTAATTTCTGAATGGAGTACTGCTATAAATACAACCGTTTAGGGCTGTGGAATAGAAATAAATTTGTAACATCATGTAATTCAAGCATGGGGGAAGAGGAGTGCTCATATAGCTTTTGTGTTACTGTGTTCAGCTATTTTAATAGGAAAGCTCCATTGCAGTGGGATGATAGTGTTGTTCAGATAGTATTGCTGTGATAGATATACTATTAAAGACATGAATTCATGCCTTTGAAACATAAGTCCCAGTAAATGCATCTTTTCAGGAGCTGGCACAATCCCTTTCATGTGGGCATAAAAATGGTTGATAGAATCTACAGTGACTTGCAGCTTATTCTTACACCAAACCTGCAACAATCTCTCCCCATTACCTTTTTTTACGCACAAAAGACTCAGTGCAATTCTGTGCCAACATGATGCTGGCCCAGGGACACCCTCTCTGCCCATACATCACATACTGGTAACTGAGTGGCATACAAAAAGTAAAGAAAAGGGAGAGTGCATTGGAGAACCCACCCGAAAACCTCTGGATTTCTCTTCTTACTTCTTTAGGGTTCTTTATCTTTGTGTTTCACTGCCTAATGAAGGAAGAAGTAGTGAAGCAGTGTCGAGTACACTTTTGCTGGGGACGATATCATCTGAGTAATTATTCTGGTAAGCACTGAGGGATTTTGGTTAGCTTGACTCATAAGTCTTTGCCTGCTACAGGTGTCACATTTGTTCTTACATTAAGAAATAAGGCTCCATTCAATAGCCTTTCTGCATTGCATTGGATAATTGTTCTTTAATAGGTCTTCATCCTCTTCCATTAACTTCTTATATGACATGATGATGGGGTGACAGCATGCAGTAAAAAATGTAGATTTCAGAAAAAGATTTCAGCTTGGTCTATAATTCTGTTCTCACATGCCATTCAGTGTTCCCTTATGTGAGCTATGTTTCTGGTGGCCTTCCAGTCTTCATAAAGCTGAGATTCAGAAATTTATGCAGGATATTGGACATACTAGTAGCTATTTTTTATGCTCAGGAGCTGAGTTTGCTCAGCCTGGGAAGGAGAAGGGAGATGTAATTGTTGTCTTTGGCTGTCTGAGGGGTGGTTATAGAGAAGAGACAGACTCTTCTCAGAGGTGTGCAGCAAGAAGACAAGAGGCAATGGACACAAGTCGCAGCTATGGAAATCCCCATTATTTATAAGGAAACACATTTTTTTCATAATGAGGGTAGTTAAATAGGTGACAGTGGCCCAGAGAGACAATGGAGAGAGTCTCTCTTCTTGGAGAGTCAAAATTTAGCTGGACGGGTGCCTGATCAACCTGATCCAAGTCTGGGCAGGAGGTTGGAGTGAAGACCCCCAAAGGTCTCTCCCAACTTAAATTATTCTAAGATTCTGCTATCTACCAGCTCAGCAAGAAATAGCATATGCTTTGGCTTATTCTTGATGTAGATTTTTCACATAAATTGGGAAGAACTGAATAACATCAGTACCTCTGTGTGTCTATCAAAATTAGCTGACATAAAGAATCGGTATGACCAAGGAGAAGCTAACTCAATTTAGCCTTTTCAGGAAGCCAGCCTGAAAATCCCATATGAACATACATGCCCTGTATGGAGCAGTCTTGTACATTGTGCGCTGCCGAGGAATGTGTCCCTTTCCATTTGCAGAGGGGGAATTCAGCTCTAAGTAGCACACAGAGTACTCTCCCTTCAGCATGAGCCAGCTCGATGGTGTACAATACACCAAGGGTAAGGCTGCCATTCCTGTCCTTTGTGTACCTCCTGTCTTCTTTGGTGTGACCTTATCCAAATTAGCATTGCTATATTGGGTCCCTAAAGGGAAACAGAAGACTGCATTGCTGGTATCCAGCCCCACCTGCACAAGTGTGACGGAGCTAGTGTAAAAATGAGCAGCAGGAACTGTGCATTGTGCTGCATGGAGACCCACGGCTTCAGGGCAGGTACAAGGATGGCACAAGAAGCAAGCACAGACCTTTCTCCTCCCTGGTCTCTAGTAGTTTGAGATGTGACACCCGTACCGAATTTTATTTCTGTGCCTTCCATTCTCTGATTTCAGACTGGAGTAGGTCAGGTGCAACTGCTGGATCTACACCAAGGCGTTTAAACCACAAATCACCATCCCAGGCTTTGTGGAGTCTACATTCTAATGGAACAAGTTCAACTTTCAATGGCTCAGATTTCCTCCCCGGGACTTCTCTGGATGTAAACTTTAGGACTGGTAAGAAAAACAGTGTGCACTGTATAGATTAGAATGCAATAGGTTCCATATGGTGACTGTCAAATCCTAACCAATGGAAATAAATAGGAAACCTTTCACTGCTTTGTCTGTGCCAGACTTCGGTTTGGAGTTAATGGCTACATTATGGATGGCTTTTCTGTAGTAAGGAAAGTAAGAAAGCCCTTAAGATCGTGCTATGGCTCTTCTCTGAAAGGAAAGGAACTCTCTGCTCAGTTTCCACCGTCGGCACCTAAGACATATTCTGCCCTGGGCCAGCTGGATGGCAGTCTCACGGGACTACTTCCAGTTAGGGAGCACTATAGTCTTATCTCATGCATTCCCAAAAGAGCAAAGATCTTGGGGAATACAGAAATCTGAACAGGACCTGCTGTGAGCCTGTTTAACCCAGAACAACCCCGCAGGAGGTTTTGCCTTCCCAGAAGGAGAAATTTTTGCAGTCCCGTATTCTGAAAAAAGGAATGTCTTTATAGGAATTCTGACCTAAGCACCAAACATTTCTGATTGTTTTTGGAAACACAACAATTTCTGTTATTTGCCCAAGGACGTTAAATCAGTGAGTTCTGCATAGACAGGTCTCTTTCTAAACATATTAAATCAAATTATTATAATGGAAAATTTTCCCAATTTCTTTTCCATAGCTGGAATTCATTACAACCCCAGTGCTGTACCTCCAGAAGATGGTGAGACCAAACATCCTTGTTCATGAAGAACCCATGGATACAGGGCTGCACTACCCACAGAAAGCAAGATTTTTTCATTGATACTGAATTTGTTTTCTTCTGATGGTCTAATGAAGGTTCTCTTTGTGGCATGTAGAAATAAACATTGATCTAAATAATTACTTCTAATGTACAATTATCACTCTGAATGCAATTAACAGGGCTAAAATATCCCATGATTCAACTCTCTAGGCTTCAGTGACGTGGCAGCACTGACCATATAAGGACTGGTCCCCCTGTGTTTCCAAGATTAGCGCTCATGTTAAACAGGGACTGGAAACATTATCTTCCTCATCATTAGCCCTTCTCGTAGTTTGTCCTCTTTTTTTTTCTCTTTACACCCTCCTACCAACCCTCTGCTCCCTTCTTCATCTGATGCTTATCCTCAGAACATAATACCCATAATATTGATTTTCAAGTCATATTTTCAAGCCTATTGGCTAACTGTCTCTGGCATGGATGTCTAGGTTCCCCAATCAGTATTTGTCCTTACTTTTTCGGAGATGGACTTGGATCAACTTTTACACATTAAGAAACTGGACTCAGCTTTCCAAGATGCTTGTTTCAGTTGTATGTTTTTATTTTCAGATGTGCTGGCACTGCTGACATGGATTTAGATTTCTAAAGAGATGCAGACGCGTGTTTAAATGTTTGAAAACATTGCCCAGTACCTTCAAATAGAATGTGGAAACAAGAAAAACTGAAATTCCCACCTCTAATGAGTATCCATGCGTATGATAAAGGTTTCAGGTTACCTCTCCTGCAAAAAAAACCCAAACCAAACAATAGCAGATAAAATCCTACCATATTTGGAGGTGGCAATGAAGAAGTTTGCCCTTTAGTAATAGTTTGCTGTGAATACAGCAGGAGATAAACTCCATTTCATAACGTCACCAGAGAAATTTAACTTTCCTCTCTTGCTACAGTAGGGCTTTCTTTCAGCAAATGCATTTGAACCAGTAACTTGCCTGCTCAGCCAAATCCTAGTTTCAGTTTTGAATGCCTTTCTCTGTATCATTCAGGTAAGGATTTTTTGATGATTGCTAATATAGTAAAATACTAACCAGTACCGATGACAGAGAAGTAAAAAAATATAATAGAGCGATGTCTTAGAGCTGGTACGTACGATAGCAAATACAAAAGGTTCTTTCATTCTGTGAACAACTCCCACACAGCAATTAGTGGAAAAAGATGAATATTTCAATGTACCGTAGCTATAGCCAGCCTACTTGAAATTAGACAGATCACCTTCAGTTCCTTGGCTTTCTGTGAGAAATGTTAGCATTAAAAACATGCAAACAAGTTCCAAAAACATGCAAACAAGTTCCACCTCGTACCCATTTGTTTCCAACTTGAAATTGCTTTCAATGAGAAAAAAATTTAATACAAAATACAGTTCAGTATGATGGACACTTGAACTATCATTCTTTGCTTGTATTCTTTATTTTCACTAGTAAACTCTTTGTTCCATAATCTGCTGCTGAATACAGGTTTTCCCTGCTTTGCGATGAGCAGGACACACTGTGCCGTGGTGCTGTGTGCTAAAGCTGTGCCTCACCCCCACCCTGCACCCCCGACCCTACCCAGGGCATCCCGCAAGGGTAGGACAGGAGGCTGCGGAGGTCTGTGGAGGAACGGGAGCTTTCATTCTCCCCTGAGTCCCTTTTACACCCGTTTGTCTCGCCTATGATATCAGTAAGTCTCGGTGGATGGACTGTTGGACCCTTTTTGCTTCTTTACCACCCTGCTTTGACCCTCACTGTTCACCTTCATGCTGTAATTCTTTCTGCATGCACTTTATAGACAGAAGGCAACCGGCTTAAATTTAGACTAGACATTAGGTAACAATTTCTAATTTTAAGGAATAAGTGGTCAAGAGAGCACACAGAATTACCATCACTGCAGGTCTTAAAAAACAATCATAGTGATAAGACAAAAATCTGCCAGAACCGGTGTAAGCAAAGTTGATTTTGCCTTAGGGCAAAGGATGGACTGGAAGACCTGTTGAAAGTCCTCCAAACTATTACTCTGATTTAAAATAAAAAGGCAGCAAAAGAGGATTAATATGAGAGCAACATGAGACTGGCCTTGTCTCCTGCATACTGTAATTGTTTTATTACATTCCTCATGAAAGATGAAATGTACTTTGATTTTCTAAGGTTTTTGCTAAATGCCCTCATAACATTATTAAATGATTAGAAGCAACAAAGATTTGGATAAAAGCTGGACAAGCAGTGAGAAAAGTGCCAGAATACTTAAGACGTCTCAGGCTGCCGAGAAATAGCTGGAAATTCTTGGGCAGATCCATCAGCGCGTTTCCTGCTTTGGAGGTGTAACAGCAGGAAGAAGAGCAAGCTGCACAGCGTGCAGCGATGTCAGGTCTCCATTCTTGCTATTGATTTCTTTTCTATTCAAAAAGCAAAATCTGGAAGTAAATTTTTAAAAACCTGTCAACTTGCTTATTTGAAATGCAAAGTGCTATTTGTTCTGGGGAGACGGTTAGCTCACTTCCACTCTCCATCATATGCTTAATGGCTCTTCCAGCTAAACAGTGTATCATTTATGATTCAGGCATGGCATTGTTTAGGCTGTCAGTCAGAATGAAGATGTGTAATTTTCTTTGGGATGAAATAGTATCTTCTGCACCAGCATCATTACATTTGCTTTTCTCCAACATATCTACGCTGACATTCTGTCACAGAATTGTGCATTGATGGTTTTCATGGGGAGAGGACATGCACAAAGACAAATCTAATAAAAAATTGCTGTGCACTTGTGATTCACATCCTAATAATTTTAAGTGATAGGAAAAGTGTCTGCAGCTCTGGCTCGAAAGTGACCTGACGGGCAGAGGTGTGTTACTGACACAAACGCATCCTCCTCCCTGCAGTTCTGATTGTATCAGTTGACTCTGCTCTCTCTCTGAGAATGCAGCAATCGAAAAGCTCCCTTGGTTTCTAAGTCATTCTCATTTACTCCTAGATTGCTTATT